GCCTCCGTGAGCAGGCTGGGTCCGGAGGTTGTTCTGCGGAGCGGGGCCGCTGAGGCCGAAAATGTGTGCCTTGGGCGTTAGCAAGTTGTGCTCATGGTGTATTGCTTGTTGGCAAATGGAGTGTGTAGGATTGGTTTTGAAACACCAGACCGTAACCAAAGGAATGCCCTTCATTTAGTCGTGAGAGGTGTAATCTGATAGGACAACGGGCCTGTTCAGATGCTGTGGTGTTCAGCTGCTCTTGTAGGTGCTGCAAGGGTGGATAAAACCATATGAAGTGAAAAGGGAGAGTGAGTAACGCTCTTGCTGAGTGCTTTCCAGTGCTAAGGAAGCGTTGCATTTTTCCTTCAGATGCCTTCTTAGCAAAGGGCTCTGCTACTCTGGACAAACTGAAAGACCTCTGTAACGACGGGAAAGAGCATCCTTCCAGGCTTTTGCAGCTCTATATGCAGGTAGTGTATTTAAAGCATTAAGAATGCCCTTTCAGGAAAATCTGCTGTGTAGGGTACGGGAGAGGGTTGGATGTAGGAAAGCAGGTATAGCAGAAAGGGTTCTATGGTACTTAGTGTGTGCAGTGAACATCCATGAAGTGCTGGGTGGCTCTTGTCTGGATTAAAAGGTAACTTAAGAGTCAGTAATAATTGTGCTGGTACTGTAAGCACAGAAAGGAGTTTGGATTTTCATTCACTGTTAACAATCTTACAATACTTCTAACTTGCAGCTTTTGTAAACTTAATGTTAAAAATTACCTTCAAATTGTGATGTGACAAGTTTGTGTGTTACTGCACACTACCATGTGATTATTTTGCTCGTAGCAAAATTTTTACACTGTGTATCTTCCTGTTTTCACAGGCTGTCTTAGACATTACATACTTTGAGGAAAACCAGCTTGTGGATGAAGATTTTCCAGAAGAATCTTCCTTGCAAAAAGTTAAAGAACTTATTTGTATTCTTTCAGAACCAGAAGACCTAGTGAGGGAATGCAACATAAAGGAAGAAGTGAGTACTAATATTATTCCACCACAGAAATAATTATTTCATTATTTAAAAATGAAGATTCTGAAACAGGGTAGTAGTATTTGTGGTTTTGATGGGCAGAATTTAATATATTTAAAAAATATTTTCAGGAATCACTATTTAAATACAAGACTTGAACATTTTTCAAAAGTTGTGGCATGCCTAGAATTTTTCTTGCCAATATTTCAGGATTCCATGTGCTTTTGGCAGTTTAAATCCAAAGTATTAGGCTTGTGTCTGTGCCTGTTACAATTGCTGTTAAGTACTATTAAGTTAGAGACTTAATATAACACTGTTTGCATGTGAGAGTATGTATATGAGTAGTTCAGATGGTTTACTTTTGGATTAGCCCAGTTTGTTGGATTTTATTTCAGCCCATCAGCATCCTTGGTGCAGAGCTGTTAGAATGCCTTTACTGGAGAAAAGGAGCCCTGCTTTACATGTACTGTCATACAGCAAAAGAAAGGAGTGAATGGCTACGACAAAACATTGATGTATTTAAAAAGGTAAAGGAGATTAAAAAGTTTTATGAGAATGTGAATACAGTTTTAAAGTTTGACTCTTCGCTTTTAAAATATAGCTTCTTTTTTTTCCCCCCTTTAAATAGAGTTTTGGGAAATTCGTAGCGAGAAGTATTTCTGGCTATCATTAAATTAATCAGAACTTATCTAAAAGCTTTTTTTTTTCCTCGTTTTTTAACTGTACTCAGTGTCTTAGTGATGGAGTTCATTACTTGATGAAGATGCTTAGCTTTAGATGCCCTCTTCAGCTAAATGAAGATGTCTCAATTCAAGATAAAGACACAGCTAGATTACTCAGTGAAGGTAAAAGAAAAGCAACTCCAAACCCCCCTCAACCCTCTCTTCTTAATAACTGCTCCACTTTATGAAATGCTTTATTGCGTGTTTTTGTTGTTTGACTTCATTTATATTCAAAAACTGTCACTTTTAGAACAACAGAACGTAATAGATGAGACGGATAAGCAGGCAGCAGTGCTCACCCCTCCCATTCTTCTTGACTTACGGGTTTTAGGAGGTGGCAGTACTCATTTTGTTTATGTTTTTGAGTGCACTGGAGGAAAGTGAACTCAGGCAATGGGTGATTTGTGCACAGCGTGTGTGTCTTGCAACTATATACTGACAATATCCCAGTATTGTCAGCTGGCCAATGTGGAAAGCACAAACACGACTGCAGAGGGTGTTAGGTGTTCCCATGTTGCTCTTCTCTTTGTATCTAGGACAACACAGATATGAACGCAGTGTTGCTGACTTCACACAGGTAGAAAGTACATGCAGAATTGGTCACATTTGGCAAGGTTTTATTCTCTGTCTCCACGTTACGTAGCTTTCTGTAAGTTGCATTACTGTAGTACATTTATGTGAGGATCTGAGACTGCATCAGTGATGCAGGAGGGGATTTGTAAGGTAAAACAGCTGGTGCTGCGGACGTGATGTCCACGTTGCACACACTCAAAACTAGCCCTACTCTGGCTATGGGGGAATGGAGCACCTTCTTTCTTAACTTCATCTGAAAGTGACATTGCTCCAGTTCAGATCCACAATGCAAAGCCAAGTTCTGAACTGTAGATTTGTTGTTTAGCAGGATTTTATTTTTTTTTCGGTGACCACGGACACATACGTAGCTTTCTATTAAGATGCTAAAGCTGCTGCTGACTAACCTGAGTTAAGATGATGCTCAAACAGCATCATCTTTTAGGCTTAAAGTGTGGGAGGCACAGAAGTGTTCTAAAATAAATATGCATAATCATGCCTGCCCGTAATGCATTGTAAAGAAATGCTGAAATTCACTAAGATAAATAGGCAAACACCATTATCAGAATAATATTTACATGGCAATCTTAAAGATCTTAGCATTATGGACAGAAAAAATGGACAGAGTAATGAGCAAGGCCTTGATCCAGGTTCTGTTCTGAGCAGTTGCAGTTCTTTCATGGTTAGAATTTGGGTTTTTTTGATATACCTCTTTAAGAGGCTTATACTGCCTTTTTGGAATTTTTTTCCAGTGTTACTGAACAAAACAAATTTCAAGTTAATAAGCTGTGTATTTTCTTGTAATGGAACAATAAAGGTCTTGATCTAAATTATTTTTGCAGCTATATTTAGTGACACTCACTTACTGGCGATGATGTACAGTGGAGAAATGTGCTACTGGGGACTGCGACATTGTGGAGAAGGGAAGCAGGAAAGCCTTGAAATGATAGATTCCATCTCCAACAGTGACCAGGGCTGCAGATCACAGAGCATGTCGCTGGATTTCCGAGAAACGGGCAAAAACATGTTAACAAAATACGTGGCTGTATGTGAGGGACCTTTAAAAGGACGAGGGTGGAATACAACAACTGCAAAACAAATGCTGTGTTACTTCGTGAACTCCCACAACTAAAAGACAGTGTTTTGGCTGTTGCTGGAAGAAACCTTGCGACCAAAGAGCGCGCTGTGGTCTCTGCTTCAGTCTTCTTATCAAAATGTATACTTTTCTTGCATTAAAAACATGCATTCCAAGAATTCCTGGAATCAGGTCCAAAGTCTAATCCAGTATTTCTAGGGAGGGAAAAAAAAA